GATTCCTATTGATAAGGAGATGTGCTGATTAGTGGGTAGGATTTGAATGATCCAAAAGACATTCAATTCGTACTGATGAGAAGAAGTGGGGATTAGTTTTTAGCAAAGGCAGGTCCAGACATTTTGAAGATACAAAGCCAAATGTTCAAAAAATTGCAGGTTTTGAGAAAAATAAACATCCGTTTTGAATGATTTTAATTTTAATTCTGGCTAAAGTTCTAAAGCTCACTTACAGACTTTAAATGCATAATTTTAACTTTTTAATTCAGTTTATATAATTCTTATAAATATTAGACAATGTAACAATATTTATAATAATCTATTTGAAAACATTCAGTATTTGAAGGAAAGTTCCAGCAATTTGCTTTAAGGCACGATGCAATACACCACTAGTTTATAATTTATAAACAGTTTCATCCGCTGTATTTATATTGGTGGCGTTCTTAGCTAATTTATATTTTTTTTTATTTTTAATCCGGAAGTACCAATTGACTTTGCTCTCAACTATTCGCAAACTTCATTTAGATATATATATATATATATATATATATATATATATATATATAGGGTATCCCAGAACTCAACGTCAAGCCGAAACGGGGTGATAGTATTAACCTTATTTGTCCTAAAAAAAATTATATTACTTTGTTTGAAAATTGAGCTTTTAAGTGCAACCTGGAGCTTTGGTGATCATGACAATTTTTTTTTAGTTATTGTGGTTAATTTCTATTAATTTCGTTTATTTAAATTTAGAAACTATAACCGTGAATAAACATTACAGGACCCCATTAAAAAATAATAACAATATTTCCCCAATTTTTGAAGAACTAAAACTTTTTGTTGAACTATGGATTTAATTTTTTTTCTGAATTTTTCCGAACAGTTAAGTGTTCTGTGACACCCTGTATAACAATTAGCTATAATCAATGCAAACTGTAACTTACATTGGTACATTTTTTATTTGCTATTTTTCTTTTTTTACATCTTTGCCAGGATATGTATAGTAGGACCTTTTTGTCCCACCCAGGTGTAAAGTTACTATGCGGTTTTGAAATAAAATTTCACCTTTCTCACAACCTCAGGATTAGCACGAATTTTTTAAGACTAAAAAATGGCCAAATCGGTCAAATGTATTCTGAGTGGTTAAATATTAATTTAGAAATATGAACGAACAGCACTCTTTTTTTGCTCTGATATATTAAATAATATTAATTTTACAAACGTTTTGAGATCAGTGTATTATAATTTAAAATATAAAATATGTATCATCATAAGTGTATTATAATTTAAAATATAAAATATGAATATTAGAAATAGAATTACGTGTTAACTCTTCCAACTTTTTGTTCTTACTAAATGCACACATACGTATTGTAGTAGACTGAAAACTTTTGACTGACTGAAGGTCAATTTGGTGAGTCATGCAATATCAAAAAGGAATGAGAAGGAATAGGACCTTAGGAATAAACAGCACTCTTTTTTTAATTCTAATTTATTAAATAATATTAATTTTACAAACGTTTTGGGACTAGGTTTGTCTTATCACCACTGTTTTATAATTTGAAATTTAAAATATGAATATCTAAAATAGCACCATATTCCTGAAATGTATGTTTATTGAAGTAATTTGTATTATTCGAGCTTTTCGAGGTTACTATATAAATGAAAAATATTTTTATAGGCAATACAGATACTACAATAGCTCAAAGAATGAAACTGTATCGCCAGCGAAATAGTCAAAACAAACGAGCAACCAATAAACGTATGTTAATTTCAATTACATGAAGTTCTACAAACACAATTACATGATAAGTGAAATTGTGAAAACATTTCTTTATTGGAAATTCAAAGAAAGTTTACATGTTTCTCTTTTATGATGGCTATGAAGACTAATTTTATTTAATAAATTAGTGCCCTATTCCTTTTCATTCCTTTTTGATATTGCATGACTCACCAAATTGACCTTCAGGCAGTCAAAAGTTTTCAATTCATATATATATATATATATATATATATATATATATATATATATATATATATATATATATATATATATATATATATATATATATATATATATATATATATATATATATATATTTGCCTGATCCGCCTCTGTTACGAAAAAACTACTCTTATTACAACTTGCATTCAGGCATTTTTTTAGTCAGTGCGTTTTGCTCTTTCGCCATCTGTGTGTATGTGTCGGAACTAAAAATAAAATACTAGCAATTGTCTGTGAAAAATATAATGTGCTTTTATTTAAATAATTTTGTGTTGTTTTAATGAAATAATAGTTTTTGAAATGAGGTTAGAATCTTATATATTATAATTATTGACTTTATGGAAAATATTTTTGGCAAATGATCAGACAATTTTGCATAATTGTTTTTTTTTTTTAATAATTTTTATTATCATTTATTTTTTCAAGTTATTAATTTTTAAGTTGCCTGTTATTTGTCAGGATTAGAATCATTCAAAAATATTAAAAAATAGACTATTAAAAATCAGTATATTTAAATCTAATTAATTTCTAATTTGTGAAATTAGCTTTTTCATATTATTAATAACAAAGTTGTCTGAAGATTGCCTGAGCATTAAAAAATCAGACTGTTTTGTCAATACTACAATTGAAATACCATGAAATTATGCTAATTCAATTAATGTTCGATTTGCAAATTAATTTACTCTTATTACTAATATTCAAGTTGCCTGAAACTTTCCTGAATATTAAATATTAGTCAAGCATTAATTATCTAAAATATTTATTCTCATATTTATTATTATTATGATTTGAGTTTTCTGTCAGGTCTTTAATTTTTTATTTAAATCAAAATTTTGTTGCTTGAATTTTGAGATAAAAATGAGATTTGCCTGACATTCCTGAAATGATTTTATTTTGGATAACATTTGATTAACCTTATTCATTTAGTAATATTATTATTAATTAATGTAGTAATTTATTAATAATTTTGAAGATAAATATTTACAAAAAATCAGGACCTGCCTGTAAGACATTGTTGCATTAGATATTTTAAAAAAAATCAATAATCTTCGTCAGGCAATTCATGGGCTTGCCTGAAATAATTTTTAAAGTTTATATAAATCAATGCTTGAAATAGTCTCAAAGATATAACTAATTATATTTAATGCACTTATACTTGAACGATATGAAAATTGATTTTTTATTCATCACGCAATTCGTAGACTTGCCTGAAACAATTTATAAAATTTATATAAATTAATGCTTGAAATAGTCTCAAACGTAAAAACCATTATTTTTAAAGCACTTATATTTGAACATCATATTTTTTTTATTCATTTATCAGGCAATTTGTAGATTTGCCTGAAATAATTTTTAAAATTTATATAAATCAGTGCTTGAAATTGTCTCCGAGATATAACTAATTCTTTTCAATGTACTTATATTTGAAAATTATAAAAATTGATTATTTATTAATCAGGCAATTCGCAGACTTGCCTGATATAATTTTTAAAATTTATTCAAATCAATGCTTGAAATAGTCTCAAAGATATAACTAATTATTTTTAATCTACTTATATTTTAACCTTATAAAAATTGACTATTTATTCGCCAGGCAATTTATAGACTTGCCTGAAATAGTTTTAAAATTTATATAAATCAATGCTTGAAATAGTCTCAATGTTATAAGACATTATTTTTATTGTACTTATATTTGAACATTATAAAAATTGATTATTTATTCACCAGGCAATTTGTAGACTTGCCTAAAATAATTTTTAATTTTTTTTTCAAATCAATGCTTGAAATAGTTTTAAGGATATAAACTATTATTGTTTATATATTTAATTATTAAAATTAAGTGATTATTGTCAGGCAATTTCTAGACTAGATTTATTTTTCAGGCAATATCTGAATTTGCCTGAAATTCTTTTTCCAGTTGTTATTTTAAATAGTATTCATGATACAATTATATGTTTTTATTATAATTACAAAGCATTAGACAAATTCTAAATTTAGTTGTCAGGCAAATTTGAGACTTGCCTGAAATTATTTTTAAAATTTATATAATTCCAATGTTTGAAATAGTCTCAAAGATTTAAATTATTATTTTTAATGCACTTTTATCTGAACATAATAAAACTTGATTATTAATTCATCAGGCAATTCGTAGACTTGCCTGAAATAATTTTTAAATTTTTTTCCAAATTAATGTTTAAAATAGTTTTAAGGATATAAACTATTATTGTTCATATATTTAATTATTAAAATTATGTAATTATCGTCGGGCAATTTCTAGACTAGATTTATTTTTCAGGCAATTTCTGGAGTTGCCTGAAATTCTTTTTCTAGTTGGTATTTGAAATAGAATTCATGTTATAATTATATGTTTTTATTATAATTACAAAGCATTAGACAATTTCTAAATTTAGTTGTCAGGCAAATTAAAGACTTGTCTAAAATTATTTTTAAAATTTATATGAATCAATGTTTGAAATAATCTTAAAAAATATAACTTAAAGATATAAACCATATTATATATTTATATATTTAATTATTAAAATTGTATATTATTCTTCCTATTACATCAGGCAATTACTACACTTGCCTGAAATTATGTTTAAAAGTATTTAAAATGAATATTGAACAGTTTCGAAGTTAACAGTTACTGCTTTTAATATGATGATATAAAACATTAGATAAATGCAATATTTGTTTTTCAGGCAATTTCTGGAGTTGCCTGAAATTATTTTTCTAGTTGGTGTTTGAAATAGTATTCATATTGCAATTATGTGTTTTTATTACAATTACAAAGCATCAGACATTCTAAATTTAGTTGTCAGGCAAATTTAAGACTTGCCTGAAATTATGTTTAAAATTGCAATTGAATTCTATGTTTCAAATATTTTAAAAATGTTAAACAACTAATTAAAATATTTTGTTAATGAACAGTGTTTTCCTATCAGAGACTTGCCTGAAATTATCCTAAAGACCTCATAATTTTCCTCTTTCTCAGGTTGGTATACCGTCAGCGCAAATCTTCTGTCCCCAGGAAGAAAATACGGAAAAAGATCGACAGGGACAAATCCTGTGACGTCATGTACGAAATGACGTCATCGTGCTCCTATCAGGTAACAAATATGCCAATTTATCTAAGGCAACATCTAAAATTTAATTACTAGTCTTGTCATTTATTGGACCTGTCTCAATGTATATTTTTCCATTAGGCCGCCCTAGATCTGAAACGACACCACCTGTCGACTACTTCATCAGCCACTTCCCAGATTCAGAACCAGCACTCTGTCCTGACTGGAGGTTCCTTGAGTGACGTCATAAATGGGGTTGGAGGTTCTCTCAGTGACGTCATCAGTGGAGGTCTTGGTCAGATCAAAACCGAACACGACTGTATTGGCGGTCTTGCACAGGTGAGATAATAGACATGGAACAGCAGGACTTGAAGTTAGACATAAATCACTAAATACACAAGACAAGACAACAATTGTTAGTTACCAGACCTTAGATTTGATACTGTACATAAGACTTTTTTGGACAATGGTCAGTAGGAACATGATACTATACAACCAGACAAGACCAAAGAGATGAGACACGACCAGATAAGATAAGAGAGATGAGACACTAGATTAGAATCCAGACAATTAGATTGTTTGGAGACAAAATTGAAGCCAAGACACTCTAGACACTAGCCATTAGAAATGAGACATAAAACATTAAAAACAAGATACCAAATACAATGTACCTTGACACTAGAAACTTGGAGTAAGATACACAACATTAGAAACCATCATACAGACCATAAAATCTATTTGGGTAGAGGGTTGGTGTCTTGGGTCTGGCGAGTTGTGACCACTTGGTCACGGGAACATGATACAACCAGACAAGGCAAGAGACACGAGACACTAGATTCTAGACATAACATTAAAGCCAAAACACTCTAGACACTAGCCATTAAAAATCAGGCATAAAACATTAAGAACAAGATACCAAATACAACATACCTTGACACTAGAAATGAGGTACACCACATTAAAAACAAGGCACTAGAAACAAAACACCATAAACAAGACATCAGGCGTGATGGAGCATAAAATCTATTTGGGTAGAGGTCTGGTGTCTTGTGTTTGGTGAGTTGTGACTACTTGTCTTATTTTTTATGGCGTGCAACGAGAAAAGCACCATGAACAAGAGACCAGACAGGATGGAAAATAAAATCTATTTGGGTAGAGCTCTGGTGTCTTGTGTCTGGTGAGTTGTGACCTCTTGTCTTATTTTTTTTATGTTGTGCAACGAGAAACAGAACACCATAAACAAGACACCAGGCAGGATGGAGCATAGAATCCATTTGGTTAGAGGTTGGTGTCTTGTGCCTGGTGAGTCATGACCACTTGTCTTGTTTTTCATGATGTGCAGCAAGAAACAAAACATCATAAACAAGACACCAAACAGGTTGGACCACAAAATCTATTAGGGTAACGGTCTTGTGTCTTGTGTCTGGTGAGTTGTGACCAATTGTCTTGCTTTTTTATGATGTGCAACAAAAAACAAAACATCATAAACGAGACACCAGGCAGAATGGACCACAAAATCCTTTTGGGTAGAGGTCTTGTGTCTTGTGTTTGGTGAGTTTGACTACTTGTCTTGTTTTTTTATGGTGTGCAACGAGAAACAAAACACAATAAACAAGACACCAGGCAGGATGGACCATAAAATCTATTTGGGTAGCTGTCTCGTGACTAGTATCTTGTTTCTGGTGTGTTGTGACTACTTGTCTTGCTTTTTTATGATGTGCAACGAGAAACAAAACACCATAAACAAGACACCAGGCTGGATAGACCATGAAATCTTTTTGGATAGAGGTCTGGCGTCTTGTGTCTGGTGAGTCGTGATCTCTTGTCTTGTTTTTTTTGTGATGTGCAATTAGAAACAAAACACCATAAACAAGACACCAGGCAGGATGAACCAAAAAATCTATTTGGGTAGAGGTCTGGTGACTTGTGTCTGGTGAGTTTTGACCTTTTATCTTGTTTTTTATGATGTGCAACGTGAAACAAAACACCATAAACAAGACACCAAACAAGATAGACCACAAAATCTATTTGTGTAGCGGGCTTTTGTCTGGTATCTTGTTTCTGGTATGTTGTGATCTCTTATCTTATTTTTTATGATGTGCAACGGAAACATAACATCATTTTAATTAATAAAATTAATTGTTTTTTTTTTCAAGACCGTCACCGGTGGCGACTGGACAAGGTACGGGTTGCACCAGAGTACCTTCGAGCAACTCAAGCAGAGTGTCGAGAAGGCGAAGGCAGCGCTGCAGGACAGGACGGCAGGTCTCCTAAGCACTGCCAGCGCATTCAGGCAAGTATAAAATAGAGTCAAACTTAGATATTCTTAAATACATACTGTAAATATGAGACTCAAGACATTCAACACACAAGTCTCAGTTCAGAATGCTGGCAACATAAGACTCTAAATGCAAGGCCTAGTAGTCTGAACAGAAGATATATTCATAGACTCTAAACGCAGGGTACATATGACTCCTAATATAAAACATGAGACTTTAATTTAAGGACACTAGACTTTAAATACAAGAACAAAGTCTTTGAAGAATACAAGGTCTAAGACTTGAATTATAATACACAGTAATTTGTTACAATTCAAGGTCATGACTAAAATTCACTTGGCTGTAATTACAAATTTCCAAGCTTGAATTACAAGGCACAAAAACTTAAAAGACGCTTCAAGACTTTTATTGCAATACCCAAGGCTTCAATTACAAGGCCCCCACTTCAATTTCAATACACACCAATCAAAACAACAATACTTTTATTACAAGGCACAATATTTTTATCACAAAACTCAATTTTTAAGCACTATATGCATTATTTCTTTATCGCTAATAATAAATTTTTATTACCTGTTTCTTTTACAGTGACATCTACAATAGCACCCGCCTATCAGCTGACACTTTATGTTCTTCAGATGCGACGACAGCGCCACAAACGTCGATCAGTACAAACAATGTGTCGCAACAACAACAAACTTCACGTCATAACAACTTGACGACACGGAACAGCGATAGCCAACACAATAATGATAAAAACACTAGGAACGGTGAGTGAAATGAAAAATAAATTATTAACTTCCCGTGGGGTAAGTTATAGTAATCGCAAAAATTGAATATAAATTTTTTTATGTATCTTTACGTTTCAAAGGCTTCTGAACATTTTGGCATACCTTAGAAAAAATGAATGTATATGTGTGTGTGCGGACACAAATTTTTGTCGACGATTTCGGGAATACGGATCAACCGGTTTGACTAATTTAAAAAACATTAGATTCGTATTGATAAGGAGAGGTGCTGATTAGTTTTTGGCGAACGCAGGTCTAGCCGTTCCGAAGATACGGTGCAAAAAGTGCCAAAAACGATAACTCAGTTTTTGAGAGAACGGAGCGTCCGATTTGAATAATTCAAAAAACATTTTACTTGTGTTGACAAGATGAACAACTGAATAAATTTTTCGAAAGACAGGTCCAGCGGTTATGGACTCTAAAAATCTAAAATTTTTCAAAAATAATTTAAAGTTTCAAAAAATTCATATTTTCGACATTTTCGAAAAAAAACAAATTTCAAAAAATACCAAAATTGAAAAAAAAATCGATTTCTTACAAAAATATTCAGAATATTTCGCAATTTTCAAAAAAATCGAATATTTTCAAAACTTTTCAAACTTTCATAAAATTTTGAGAAAAACGTTTTTTTTAAATTTCAAATTTCTGAAATAATTCAAAATTTTAATTTAACTTCAAAATTTAAATTTTATTTCTAAATGATCAAAAAAAAAACCATTTGAAAAATTTTCAAAAAAATTTCAGATTTTCATAAAATTTTGAGAAAAACGTTTTTTTTAAATTTCAAATTTCTGAAAAAAATCAAAATTTTAATTTAATTTCTAAATTACCAAAAAAATATATAATAAAAAAAAATCATAAGTCTCTACAACAACTTGGTATACTCTAAATTTGCTCTCCAGCATCAAATTTTTCTTCCTTCACTAAAAATGATTTACCATGAACGTTTCGATCATTATAATAGCCATCGTCAGTGATTTCATGTTTATATTTATACGGTGTGCATGTCGCAGGCAATTTAGAAAAATAGAAAAGAATAGAAATGATGACAATTGTTATTGTGTCGTTGTTCACTTGGATGGAAATCAAAAGTCCCCTAATAGAAAAAATAAACAGCGCGTGCGCGCACACCCTAACAATTAGGGAAGGATTTTCTCACACATGAGATGATGCATGTGAGAGAGACAACGGAGGCAGGTCCATGGGGAGAGGAAGTAGAGAAATAAGAGAGTAAGCTAATCTACTCACTTGACTTCCCGGTGGAGAATTTTATGTTTTTACCAGAAAATCCGACTTGCCAATTTTATGTGTTTTCGACCTTCCAAGTCATTCAAAATCGTTTGGCATCGAAATTGTAAGAAGTGTGCGTGTGCGAGAAAAAATTTGACTTTTCGTCGATGTTTTCTCTAAAACTGGTTTGCACATGTTTTTTGACATTTCAAGTCATTCTAAATTGTTTGACACTTGAATTGTCAAAAGTATGCGTTTGTGAAAGAAAATTTGACTTTTTGTTGTCGTTTTCTCGAAAACTGCTTGATCGATTTTAAATTTTGGAATGCCTTTTTTTATATAATTAGCTGAGAAGTACAAAAATTTACAGCCTCGTTTTAGCCAAAAATCCTGAAACGATTTTAAAAATTTAAAACGTATTCGAAAGATATTAGTTTTAGAATAGTCATGCTTCATAATTTAATTTAAATGTTGAATAAGTATTTTTTGCATTTTTAATATAGCGATAGAGTTCATGATCTCTAAATGGACATCCTAAAAATATTAGAGACTTATGGAAAATGGTTGAATTATAAACTAGTGGTGTATGGCATCGTGCCTTAAGGCAAATTGCTGGTACTTCCCGTACCAAAA